CATCCATGCTGCAGCACATCCAGCGGTTCACGCAGACATCCGGCTCTGTGGAGTTGGTCCTCCGTCACCTCGATTCCGTTCTACCAGCGGCTGATCTGACGAACCATCCTGATCACACCCAAATTTACATGTGGACTGCCTGCTCTGCCTGCACAACCAGCAGTCTGGCCTGCCTCATGTCTGTGTCCAGCTGGCACCTCTCTTTCATCAAATTTATCGATCTTCTACTGAACTCCACCGAGGTCTTAACACACATTTCGCCAAACCGGCCCAGTTTGGAGGATCAAAAGCCAGGCCCTGTGGCGGTGCAGTCCTCATCCGAACAAACCAATCAGCCGCATGAGTGCAGCGCCAGGAGTCTGCAGCACTTTTTCGCACTAGGCAAACACCTGGCCACCTTCAGGTTAGTTTTGACCTCGATGCTGTCACCTATTCTCTGCCGTCGTTTTCAGCGCCCAATCAGCCGCCCCCCTTTTTGCTTTCAGCTACACTACTGTGTCTATTTATGAGGTGGTCATGCCGCCAGTCGAAATCCTCATGTTTTCACCCCAACTGGAGCCGGCTATGGCCGCTGCCTATGCCCGGCACATTGGTGCTACTGTGAAATCACCTCCAACCACCACTACCACCAACAGCACTCAAGGGGATCCGCCTCCACTGCTAGCCAAGCCGGACGCCCTTCATGCCCTCGAACTTCCAGCCTACCTCCGACAGGAAGCTTACGTCGTTTTGAAAAAGTATTTTGCTGCCTGCCTTTACGAACATATTTTATTATGAGTATCATCGCCCACGTCTGCTTACTAACCTGCTTCCCCACACCTTTCAGATTCTACCAGGTCACCACTTCAGTGAAATCGCATCTCTTCACCCTGCGGCATGAAACTATGAGCGATGACTGTTTGTCGCTGGTTAAAACCCTGGAGGACCATCTAAATGTAAGTTGGTTTTTTTTAAACCTGTTCTGCATCCGCTTATAGCAGTCTTCAACAGAGCCGCTGCGGAGCCTTGATCAATAAACCACCATCCACGCGCCCATAAGTGCTGCCAACGGGGGCCCTGCAACCAAAGCCTATTACTTGCGTTCACAGTGAGGTTTAACTGACCGAAATGTGACCTAGACTCAACCACAAGTTATAGGATGACGCAAATGTCATATGATTTATGGCGACATTCCACTGGAAAGGAGAAGGCGTTGAGTTCTCC